CCCCCCCCCCCGTGTCCTGAGCTCCCCACGGGGCCCCTCCAGACAGCCCCTGCCCCGGGCTGTTCTGTCGCTCGGCTGGCCCTCCCTCTTCCAGCAGTTGGCCTGCTATTCCTCTGGCCCCCAGATCCTAGGGGTGACCCTGCTGCCCGCACCCAGGCTTCTCCCGGCACCTGTCTATCTGCCGCAAGCTGAGACAGCTTAGCTCTTCCCTACCTCTTCGGGTGGTCTTTGCTCCTGGGGTCTCTTGGCTCATTTGGACTCCCCCCGCCCTCCCTTGAGGGGTTTGAGAAGTGCTCAGATGCTGCAGCTTTTAGGCCATGGCTTTGGTCACTTGGTGCTTCTAAATGGCTTGTTCAGACTCTGTAACCACCTTCCCTGCCCCCCCTCCAATTGGGGGTGGGGTGGGGTGGGGGGAGAACCCATTTTCACAGCTTGTGCCTCTCATCCTGCACTGGTGACCCTTAGACCCACCCTCACCCCACTCCCCATGTGAGAGAGATTTTCAATTCTGGGCAAGTTAATCTTTCTTTCAAACCATCCATTCTGTGTCCCTTGTCATATGTTCAAGGACAAGGAAACAGCCCTGTGTGTTTTTTAATTTTATTTTTCTGTCATGTGCTCCTCCCCCACGTACACACTTGGCCTGGCTCTGCGTGATCGTCACCCACGCACAGTGGGCAGTGGCTGTTGGTGGATCAACGGGTTGACAGTGCCTTCATTCCCTCTTCTAGCTATGAAACAAGCTGGGACAGGGTCACAGATAGGACACTAGAGGATGGGTAAAGATTGGATTTGGTGATCTTCATGCAGATGGAGTAGGTGGCTTGAGGTTGGCCTGGTGCAGGTTTGGAGAAGTTTGAAGTTATCTTAGGGTCATGAATCTTCACCCTTGCTTTCTTTTGGCCAGAGCAGGGTTCTGTTCCCCACCAAGGAGATGGGGGTGGGGTGGGGAGGGGTTGTGGGTAAAAGGGTATTGTGGTAGCCAGGATGGGAACTGAAGAGGTGGTGGGGTGCCCCGAGGAACAGGTGACACGAGAGAGCCTGGGTGGTGGTGCTGAAGGTATGGCCGAGGAATGCTGGAGCCTGGGGTGGGGGAGGGGTGGGGGTGGCAGCCCTGAACCGGATCACGGAAATAATGTGCTCCTTGTGCTGGCCACTTACCTGCTTGGCATTGTGCTCAGCACTCCGCAGGTATGATTTGATCCTCAGTCTCCGGATTGAGTCCCACAGAGTCCATTTTTTTTCAGCTAGGGAAACTGAGGCTTAGAGAAGTCACATGGCTAGAACAGTGGGAGTCACACAGCTAGTTAGTCTTTGCACCCTAACATATGGAATCCAGAGGCTCTTGTCACAGGCTGAGAGGCTGGGAACCTATTAGACCTCTCCACCAAGCGGCTACCACCTGGTTTATTTTCTTCTTCTGCCCCCCTCCTCCCCCCCCCCCAAAAAAAAACTCCTCGAGTCTTTCCCAGGGTGGTGAGTGATGCCCACATATTCCACTGCGTTTGCCTCTCTGTGTCTCTGGAAGGGGAACCCCAGGGACTTTTCCTCCAAGTTACCCCACCCCCCGGATGTTCTCAGGCCCTGTCCCGTCCTCCCAGCCCAGCCTGGGCGGACTCCTCCTTCCCCTCCGTGAGGCTCTGGAAATCCAGTGGGAGGCCATTGCTATGGCAACAGGACTAGGCCCTGGCTTTACCTCATCAAATTCCAAGCTGAAGCCAAAGCGATTGGGAAATTAAAGAAAAAAAAATGTATTCCAGATGTTTACTTTTTATTCCTTATTTTTCCGTGTTTGGATGAGACTGCTCCAAGGGAAAGGGAGGTGGGGCCGGGATGTAGAAGGAGAATGGGGCGGGCAGGAGGGGGGGGAGAGCCACTCCCAGCTGTGGAGGGAGAGAGGGAGACTGAAAGGGAGGGTGATCAGGAAGGGGAGGCGGAGCCCCAGGTTGGGGAGGAGCGGGTTTTTCCCGTCTCCCATGAGGTGATTCACAGACTTTAGAGTTTTCGGCCTTCTTGCTGTGCCTCGAGTAGATACTCCAGCTGGGCTGCCTGACCCAAGGGGGAATGCCTTGGGAACCGTAAGTGGGGGGTCTTGGAGAGCCTGTCAGAGGAGTGAGAAAGGGGGAAGGTGGCTCCCTCCAGCTCTAGGACTTGGAGAGTCGGAGGCAGGAATGGGAGAAGATGGGCAGAGTTGAGAGCCGGGCTGTGGGGATCTCCCGGCCCCCTCCCGAAGTTTCCCTCTTCCTGTCCCACACTGCCTCTGCTAGAAATAGGAGATTCCCTCGCTAAACCTGCCATCAATGCCCAACTCCTTGCCTCACTCCCTCTTTCCTGGGTCCCTGTTCATGTGAGCTCACACCCATCTGTTCCCCCCACCCATTCTCAAGCAGGGTCTGCCGCATGTGATGAAAGTGTCTACTCTCAGGGAGAGCACGGTCATGGCTTCCCCACCAGCCCGAGAGATGGAGGAGGAGCTGGCGCCTGCTGGCTCTGAGCCAGGTAATCATGGGTAATGGGTGTGGAATGGGGGGTAGTGCCTGGCTGTGGGGAGGGTTAGAAGAGCAGAAGCGGTGCCCCCCATTCTGTCTGGGGTGGGGAGTGGTAGTCTAGTTTGAAAGGCTCTTGGTGCCTGGTGACCCTCAGCTCTCCAGGAGGAGTGATGTTGACATGGCGTGGATCAAGCCACATGCTTTGCAGAAAAGGAGATTGAGGCTAGGAAGGAAGAAATGGAGCAGATGCTCAGGGGTTTGAACTCAGGTCCAGACTCTTTCTTCAGCTTAGTACATGAGTCTCTTGTAGAAGGTCATGGATGTGAGCGAGTCCAGATCTGGTTTTTTTTTTTTTTTGGTCATTGGAATGCCTTATATAGAAGGTAGATTTCGAGTCTTTTTTTTTTTTTCTCCTGTAGATTTACTTCTGTTTGGCTTAAGTGAATAGTAAGTGTGATTCTTTTTTTTTTTTGGTCAGTCCTGGGGTTTGAACTCTGGGCCTGGGCACTGACCCTGAGCTCTTCAGCTCAAGGTGAGTGCTCTACCACTTGAGCCACAGCACCACTTCTGGTCTTCTGGTAGTTAATTGGAGATAAGAGTCTCATGGGCTTTCCTGCCCAGGCTGGCTTGAACTGTGATCCTCAGATCTCAGCCTCCTGAGTAGCTAGGATTACAGGTATGAGCCATGGGCACACGGTGCTGTGTGTCTTAAATGTGCATTCTTGATTGTACACTGTGATGGGGGGCAGTCTTAGAGTGTGGAAGGAGAAAGGGCAGCAGGGAAGGAGGGTGGAGAAACTCAGCTAGGATAAGAGTGAACTATGGCTTGATGCTGCTGGCTCATGCCTGTAATCCTAGCAACTCAGGAGGTTTGAGATCTTGAGGATTGAGGGTTGAAGCCAGCAAAAAGCCTGAAGTGGAGGTGAAGGTGTGGCTTAAATGGTAGAGTGCCAGCTTTGAGCAGAAAAAGCCAAGTGACCACATGAGGTCCTGAGCTCAAGCCCCAGTACTGTCAACAAAGAGAGAGAGAGAAAAGTGGGGGGAGGGAGGGAAAGAGGGAGAGAGAATTCACTGTGGAGATGTAGTAGAATGTCATTTAAAGGGAAAGGACTAAGTTGGGGACCCGAGCTGTTGTTGGGTCCCGAGCTGTTGTTGGGGTCTCAAGCACGCAGACTATTTATTTATTTTTGGCACATTTGCTCAATCATTCATTTGGTAGGACTTGGTGCTAGGTGTAAAATCAGGATGCAGGAGAATAAGGTGCCACCAGGGCTTATAAATAGCTTTAACTTAAAAGGGGATGGCCTAAAACATTTCTGGAATTGGGAGGTGGGAGAAGGTGTTTCTGGGATGAATATAGAAAACCGGGAAGGCTTCACGGAAGAGGTGGCATGTAACTTGCGCCTACAAGTGCCTGAACTTGGCAGGTGGAAGATTTGGTGGAGCAGCGGCCACCAGAAGCTCTAGTTCTTCGTTCTTCCCCTACCAACCCTTTCTTTTGGTAGGTGACCCTCGGGCCAAACCCCCAGTCAAGCCCAAGCCTCGAGCCCTGCCCACCAAGCCAGCCCTGCCTGCCAAGCCCAGCCTGCTGGTGCCTGTCGGGCCTCGGCCCCCACGGGGTCCCCTGGCTGAGCTGCCATCTGCTCGGAAAATGAACATGCTGGCGGGACCCCAGCCCTACGGCGGCAGCAAGCGCCCCCTTCCCTTCGCACCAAGGCCTACGGCTGAGGCCTCTGCCGGAGGAGAAGTCGCCCAAGAGGCCAGCAAAGAAGAGGGCGGGAAAGAGGAGCCGCCCCCCTTAACACCACCCGCTCGATGTGCCGCCCCCGGGGGTGTGCGGAGGGCCCCTGCCCCCTTCCGTCCAGCCTCAGAGCGGTTTGCAGCTGCCACTGTGGAAGAGATCCTGGCCAAGATGGAGCAGCAGCCTCACAAGGAGGTCCCCGCCAGCCCTGACCGCCTGTGGGGTTCGCGCCTCACCTTCAACCACGATGGCAGCTCACGCTACGGCCCCAGGACCTATGGGGGGGCCAGTGGTCCCAGAGAGGAGGATGACAAGACCCTCACCAGAGGATGGTCGCAGGAGGGGCCGGCAAAATCTGCAACAGAGGGCCAGGAAGAGCACAGCAAGATGGGCAAGGAGAGGTGAGGGCTGGAAGGTGGTAGCCTAAAGGTCAGGGGCTGGGTCGCACGTGGTTGGCTTCCAATAGGGCTGTGACCCTCCCCTTTAGGATCAGTGTAGGCTGTGAAAATAGGCAGACCCAGCACCTTACACCTGTGCTCAAGCACTATAGGGTTTTTTTTAAATCGCACTTCTTGTCAGAGAGTTCATAGGCATTTATCCTAGAGCTCCAGGGCTTTAGACTGTGCTGCCTGGAATCCCTAACCCGTCCTCTTTGGGGAAGGAGCTGTCAGGCCCATTTTTACAGATGAGAAAACTGAGGCTTACAAATGACGCCTCAAATAAGAGGCCAAGACTGAGTCTGAATCCAAGCCCATTTGATACCCAAGCCTGAGCTCTTAACTACAAACTCTTCCTGTGGGCAGAGCAGCGTGCTGTATGTGGGTGTGGGAGTCAGGATCTGCAGGGCACAGGTTCTGCCCACGAGGAGAGGGGTCTGAGGGGAAGACAGGAGTACTTCTGATAGTTTCTGCACAGATTTCGGCTAGTCGGGAATCAAATACATTTGCCCACAGTGAACGTCCCGAGTTGGCACTAATGCAAGGGAAGGCTGGTGAAGAGGTGCCGCGTGCCGCATTGGGGGTAGTGGATACAGGGCATGGAGAGAAGCCTGATGGATTTGTGGGGAGCTTTGGCTTACACAAGCCATCCTCCAGGCAAGGAGAGCCAGCTGGAAGCAGAGGCCACAGCAGGCCCAGAGGCTGCCCCCGCTCCCCTCCCCGCCACAGTATAAGACAGGGGTGTTGTGGTATGGGCTGCGTGGGAAGCTGAAGGCCTGGCCCAGCCCTGTCTGCCTCGCCCTGCCCTGCCCTGCCCTGCCTTCCAGCCTTGCCCTTTTCTCACCTGAATACACCTAGAGGTTTGATTCTGGAATTCACCTTTGCCTTTCCCAGACCAGAACGACAGGGATCTCACTGCTGCCCAGGCCAAGTTCCTTCCTCCATCCAAGCAATGCTTAAGAGGAACAACTTTAGCTTTGGAAAAGAATCACTCTTCCCCCTTCCCTTCCCCCTGCAATCCTTCAAGCAATATTGGCAGGGCAGCCTGGACCAGCTGTGCGCTCTAGCTGGAGGAGAACTTTAACCCTTTATGGGTCAGGGGAAGGAGATGCTTTCTTCTCGGGAGTCTGAGCTCACAAGAAGTCTGAGGCGCACAAGATGTTTCTCCTGAAAGAGCTTAAGGAATTTAATGCTGTGTGTGCAGGCAGGGAGTAGGCAACTCTCTCCTGGGCCCTTGCTCTGTGGAAATGACACAATTTCCTGTTCCCCAGTGGCTCCCAGCAGGGCCCGGGAGTAAATTCCTGGGGTGTTTATTCTTTGGGTGCTGTTGCACTTGCTTAGGGAAACACTGTTCTCTTTTTGATTGTGCAGCAGGCTTCAGCATCCTGTGCCTCTCTCTCTCCTTTTTTTTGCCCTCACAGGAGTCCCTCTTCCAGCCCAGCTATCAACGGGGACTTGGCTAAGCCGGCCAGCTCTGAGCCTGCTACCAACGGGGACTTGGCTAAGCCGGCCAGCTCTGAGCCTGCTACCAACGGGGACTTGGCTAAGCAGGCCAGCTCTGAGACACCTAGCACCGTGAGTTGCATTCCTCTTATAAGTTGCATCTCCATATTTAAGAGCTTGAAGTCATATAGGTCACTGTTTTCACTCCCCTGGTAGTTAAAAGGGAGAGGGCAAAGCTCAAGGGCTGGTTCTAAGACCTCAGATTTCTTCACTCCAGGCCATGCAGTGGATCATCTAGATGGCCAAGTGTATTTCCAGCCCTGGGGCTTCTCCTTACTAGCAGTAATATTGTGTTTACCACACTGCCACTGACTGAGGCCCCACTGTGTGTGCTCGGCACTCCCTAGGAATGTTAACCAACTTAATCCTTGTGAAAACTTGTTCATCCCAACATGAGATTCGAGACCGCCAGACTCACTAGGTTAAGTATCTTGCTTGGCCTGAATCAGAAACCAAAGCCTCTGGCTTCAGAACCCTTCCTGGCTGGGCTGCTATTTCAGGATTCAGAAAGGAAAGAGCCTTTTCCTTCTGGATTTCCTGTTGATCCCCTCTTTTCGCCCGCCACACTGCTTTCTCAAGTAAACTGTGAGAATGAGCCCTTTAACTCTCATAGAGCCCTGGCTTGCCAGAAGCTGTCTGAGCCATTCAGTGATGAGAGAGTCCTCTAAGCTGACAGCTAGGCAGTGAGTGTGAAAGACAAGGGCTGGAGGAACTGGAAAGGTATTGGGAAGCCCTTGAGCTGTGTGTGTGTCCGGGGAAGTGCATTCTTGGCAGAGAATGGCCTATGCATATGCGGAGGCAAGGAAGCTGGGTGATGGTGAGGAGTAGGAGGTGACAGCATTCCATGGCCTAAAACCTCTCAGGCTGCTATCAGGACTTTGACCTTGAGGGAGGGCTAGATGTCTTGGAAGCGTTTGGAGAAGAGGCATGGCTGTTGCTTAGTTATGACGAGATCACTTGGTTTGCTTGGTTAAGAATGGGTGGTAGGGGGCTGGGAAGGTGGCTCATTGGTAGAGTGCTTGCCTTGCATGCTTGAGACCCTGGGTTTGATTCCACATAAGCAAAAAGAAAAAGGCCGGAAGTGGCGCTGTGGCTCAAGTGGTAGAGTGGTAGCCTTGAGCTGAAGAGCTGAGGGACAGCGCCCAGGCCCAGAGTTCAGGCCCCACGACTGGACCCCCCCCCAAAAAAAAAGAATAGGTAGGGGGCGTTTTAGAGCAGCGGCAGCAAGGACCAGGTAGGTGGCTGTTGGAATAATCCAGGTGAGCGATGATGGAGGTTTAGGCCCTGGAGGTGGCCAGGGGTGGAGCTGGTGAGAAGTGGTTGGTTTGGTCCAGATGTGAAGGTGAAGTAGACAGGACATCCAGATAGACTGCTGGGAGGAGAGAGAAAGCAAGAAGACTAGGGCTTCAGGACCATATAGCCAGGTAAAGGGCAAGTTTCAAGTTTCCCATTTACTAAGATGAAGACTTCTAAGGGCAAAGCAAGACTGGGAGAGATATGAGGAGTTTGCTTTGGGTTTGTTGAGTGAGATTTTTTTTAAGACACCTTGGCAGGAACACATGGGAGGCAGAGGTCTGGATATTGGAGCTAGTTAGAGAAGAAGTCTTGGGACTTGTAAGTGGAGAGATGGTAGCTGAGACTAAAGGGTGGCAGTTCAGGAGAGATGAGGCCTGAGGTGCAGCCAAAGGAGCAGGGAGGTCCAAGCAGAGCCCAGCCAAGCAAAGTCAGCCCCTAGTGCTGCTGGACCATGGGAGCTTCCAGGACTGCAGAAGGGTCCAAGCAGGCTCCAAATGCCACTGACAGTTCCTATCAGGTGAGCACCAAGAGTTGGATTTCACTCGAGGGCAGTTCCTGGTGACCTTGACAAGAACAATGAGTTGGCAAAGTGAAGGAGGAGGCATGTTTGGAGAGGGTTCAGGAAGACTGTGGGTAGTGAATGCAGGCAACACTTTCAAGAACACAGATGGTAGCCTGAGAGAGATGGAGGGTCAAGAGGAATTTTGTAAGGCAGAAGAAATTCGAGCAGTTGGTGTGCCAGTGGAAATGTTCCAGTGGGAAGAGAAAAATCAATGATGCAGGAGAGGAAGGGCTGGTTATAGCCAGGAGCAAGGACAGTGCTGGCTGTGGAAGGGGGTGCTGAGGGCTTGGGCTCCCCCACAAGGTGGGGCAGGGAGGACTTGGACCGTCTGTGTTGATGGCCTCTGTTCTAAGGAAACAGGAAACAAGGCCATCAGCTGAGAGAAGATGGGGAGGCGCTGCAGGTTTGGGGAGAGACGTGCGAATGGAACTACTGCATGTGTTGCCTGGGGGTGCATAGAAGGGGGAGTGTCGTGGGGTTACTGGGCCGTTTGGGGGACCAGCTTGGAGTCAGTGGTGAAGATGACCCCAGTCACCCTGACTGTATCACCACTCGAGCTGCCCGGGTGCTGGGCTCCAGCTGGATTTAGCTTGCAGGATGTGATGAGAGAATTGAGCGTTGAGTACAAAGCAAGTGTACCGGTTAAGAAGAGAGGCGAGGGAGTGATGGCCCTGAGAACTTCAGGAAGGAAGTCACTGTGCTTCCCAGAGGAGTTGAAGAATGCAGGACAGATGGGAAGCGGGGATGGGCCAGTGGAAACACTTGAAGTGGAGATGATGGTGGTAGGGGCCAGGCTGTGACCTTGGCCATGGAAGCCCTGGGGCTGAGGAGCTCAGGCACCGGGAGTCAGGAGGCTAGAAGGTCAGCCATACCCTTGAAATGACTGTCAGTGATAGCAGTGGTGTTAATTCTCAAGGACTAAGGGGTTGGTCGGAGGCTGATGAGGAGGGACTATGTGCCATGTAGTTCAACGGCATCACTTTTGTGTGTGTGTGTGTGTGTGCGTGTGCTGGTCCTGGGGCTTGAACTCAGGGCCTGGGCACTGTTCCTGAGATTCTTTTGCTCAAGGCTAGTGCTCTATCACTTTGAGCCACAACTCCACTTCCAGCTTTTGTGTGTGTGTGTGTGTGTGTGTGTGATTAATTAGAGATAAGAGTCTCACAGATGTTTCTGCTCAGGCCAGCTTTGAACTGTGATCCTCAGATCTCAGCCTCCTGAGTAGCTAGGATTACAGGCATGAATTTGTAATCCCAGCCAGGGCATGACTTTGATACAGGAATATTGCAAAGAGCAGAGAGGATGAGGAAATGTGGGAAGGGTCTTGAGAAGCATCAAGACCCCTTCCTCTTCCTAGACCCAGGTGAGGAGGGAACAGAGTATGTTCCATGTTGGAGGAAGTGGCAAAGGTCACAATGGAGCCTAGTATCTCATTTGTCTAGGGACAGGCAATGTGGAGAGAGAGCCAGGGGCCTGGTGCTGCCCTTCTTGCTTGTGTTCCCTGATGTTTTCCCCTTAACCTGGCCCCCAATATCCCATAGCAGTCATATTTGGCTTTGCTTTGCTTGCTTGCTTGCTTGCCTTCCTGCCTGCTTGCTTGCTCGCTTTCTTTCTTTCTCTCTCTCTCTTTTTCTTTCTCTCTTTTTCTCTTTCTTTCTTTCTTTCTCTCCTTCCTTCCTTCCTTCCTTCCTTTCTTTCTTTCTTACTTTCTCTCTCTCTTTCTCTCTTTCTTTCTTTCTTGTTTTGATGGTTGTGGGGCTTGAACTCTGGGCCTGGGGGCTGTCCCTCAGCTTTTCAGCTCAAGGCTAACACTCTACCACTTGAGCCACAGTGCCACTTTCAGTTTTGTGGTGGTTTATTAGAGAAAAGAGTCTCACGGAATTTCCTGCCCAGGCTGGCTTCGGACCGTGATCCTCAGATCTCAGCCTCCTGAGTAGCTAGGATTGTAGGCGTGAGCCACCAGCACCCAGTGGCCACGTTTTTTCATATGCCCACAGGCCATGTGTATGCCTCTTATTTAGTCCTTACCCAACTGTGTGAGGTGGACATAGTTGCTGTCAGCCTCCGGACACAGATGGAGGTACCGAGGCTCAGAGAGACCCTAGGGAAGGGAGGCATTTATCCCAAAGGAGGCAATTCTGGGACCACTCCAAGCCAGGTATTTTTCTGGGCCCTCAACCTGAGTCCCATAGCCTTTCTGCTTCCTTGGGTAACACCAGAATCTGTGGGTACACAGAACAAGTTAGCTACTCTTGGGCTTAGACTTGTGCTCTAAGGCCCACCCCTTCCCCTTCTTCCCCCACATGCCCCGATGGTCAGATGCCTGATGGTTCTGCTCTCTTTGTAAAGCAAGTGTTCTTTGTCCGCAATCTGTGGCCTCTTAGGAAATGCTCAGGTAGCTTGCGTTAGGTGGGTGGTTGGAGTAGGAACCTCTGGAATGGTGTGAGTCATCAGAGTTGAATGAGGTGAGGCACCTTGGGAGAAGACCAAGGTGGGTACTGGCTCTGGGACCCTGGAAAGCTCGCCAAGATCACTTCGGGCCTTCTCCCAGCCCCCCTGCATTCTCGGTCCCTCTTCCGCCTCTAGGGAACTGTTAGAACAAAAGTGTGTGGGAGAATTGACTGGAAGTGTCTGTGGGGCCCCACCGGAGAGGTGTGTGACAGCTCTTGACCTTCCACTTGCAGGTTTCTGAGTCCAGGCTCTCCTCAAGTCCAAGCCCCCCATCAGACCATGGTGCTGCTGCCTGCCGGGGCCTTCCCACTGCGGTGAGCGGCCCAGCCCCCGAATCTCCCTGGCGGCATCACTCACCTGAAGAGAGCACTCCCTGCCACCCGCAGCTTCCAGATGCCCAGAGTCCTTCAGCTTCAGAGGCATCTTCCTGTCTCCCCGTGACTCCGGCCCTGCCCAGTGAGGGCCCCTGCCATCCCCCCAGCCCGGGGGTCTCTGTCGAGGCAGCCCCAGAGATCCCCGGACCGAACAGTCCTCCCCAGGAGAAGGTCTCTGGGCACCAGGGCCCAGAGAGGCCCCCAGAGACCTCACCCCGGCCCCTGCTGGAGGGGGGTGAGCTGCTGGACCCTGCTCGGACGTTTCCACCTGGCGAGGAGGCAGCAGCCCAGGGTGCCGTGGACCCTCGCCCCAGCAGCCTGGCTCAGCGCCGCTTCTCGGAAGGTGTGCTCCGTCCACCCAGCCGGGACCCGGAGAAGCTGGGGGGCTCTCTGGCTGCTCTGCCCCAAGCCCAGGGGAGCCAGTCGGCCCTGGATCGCCCCTTTGGGAGTGGAACAGAGTCGAACTGGAGTTTGTCTCAGTCCTTTGAGTGGAGCTTCCCCACGCAGCCCTCGGGCCTTGGTGTGTGGCGGCTGGACTCCCCCATCACGGAAGCCAGCGAGGCGGCGGAGGCAGCGGAGGCTGGCGGCTGGACTGTGTCCGGCAGGGAGCAGGGGGGGTCCCAACAGGGATCGGGGGCCCCGTCAGCTCCAGGGAGCCCAGGAAGGCCTAGTTCCTGGGTGCGAGAGGAAGGCCCCAGTATCTCCCCAGCCCAGAAAGACAATGGAGGGAGTCAGGCCCCATCTACAATCGACTCCCCACCCAGAACATCCCTACTGCAAGCAGAGGAGAGGTGTGGGGACCAGGAGCTGCTGGCTGGACAGGAGGCCCCCCTGGCTGTGACTAGCAGGGAGGCAGCCCTACCCATCCTGGAGCCAGTCCTGGGGCAGCAGCTGCCAGCCCCCTCTGACCAGCCCTGCATCCTCTTTGCCGATGCCTGTGACTCTGGGCAGGCATTGCCTGCTGAGGAGGAGGCGGTGACCCCAGCCCAGGCTGAAACCACGCAACCCAGGACAGAGGCCCACGTCTCCTGTCGGACTTCCCCGGAACCCGTGGGTCCTGACAGCAGCTCTCGCTGGCTGGATGATCTCCTGGCTTCACCACCGCCCAGTGCAGGCAGCGCCAGGCGGGGAGCCGGGTCCGAGCTGAAGGAGACACACTCCCCGAGTACCTGCTCAGAGGTGAGCATGGGGACACACGGGAGGAGGCCACTGGACTTGAATTGATCTTGATTCTTGCAGTGAGCAAGGCAGTTGTGGGTCGGCACCTCGTAGGCCCACAGTCTGGCAGAGATATTACAGGATGGTGCCTAGGGTTTCACTGTGGCATGAGGTCAAATCCTGCCACCAGCGTTCCCTAGCTAAGTGATCCTGGTCGTGTACCTTAATTCTAAGCTTTAGTGTCCTTTTATAATAATGACATAATAATAACATTACTTTGACTGCTGGTATATTAAGGTGTAGAAAGGGTTTGATGCAATGCATGGTGGCATACACTAAGGAAGTTGTCTGTTATTAGCAGGACAAGACAAACTAGCATAGCCCTTTAGGGCCTGGGTTCATCTCCCAATAGCATCTCGAATCTCTGCTTCTTTGCTCAGGTGTAGCCCCAAACAAGTTACTTCTCCATGCTCTGCCTCATTTCTGCATCTGTGAAACAGGTTGGCAGTGAAGGGTTTGCCCTTAGAGAGTGGTGGTGGGCATTACACGAGTTAGGACATGTGAAGGAAAAAGGGGAGACTTGTCATGTATTTAATAAGTGTTTTTTAAAATACTGTTAGAAAGGTGATTTACTGAGGGGTTACAGTTACGTAAGTCAGGTAACGTGTACATTTCTTTTTGAACAATGTCACTCCTTTCCTTGCTCTCTCCCAGTTTTTCCTTCCCATCCCGCCCACAAATTGTAGAGTTCATTTTCAACATAAGCTGGGGTTATTTGTTTGTTTGTTTTTGTTCTTGTTTTTTGACTGGTAAAGTGCTTCTGTTGAGGAAGCAGGGCTTTATGCAAAGTTACCCAGCGAGTTGGTGACTGGGGCCTGGGCATCATTTTCTAGCCCAGTGCCCTTTCTCCTACCGGGCCTTCTCTGTATTTAAGGCCTGGCATCCAGGTGACTTGTGAAATTTAGTTTTTGATCCTGGCCTGGGCTGGCTGGGGGGTAGGGGGGGGCAGGAGGAGGAAGAGGAGGAGCAGGAGCAGGAAGGGGTTAACACCAAAGTGACTCCTGCGGTGGGTGTGTCTGTCCCTGGGATGTGGGTGACTCAACTGGCTCTGGGCGGGGCCCTCAGAGCTGCAGCTGCTCCAGCGGGAACTGAGGGAGTCCAGCCAGGGAGCCCGGAGCTGAGTCGTCAGACAGGTCCAGGCTAGGGGTGCTTGGGTAGCCGCCCAACCCTGTCCCGTACCCACCCCACCGCACCCAGCCGCCCCAGGGCAGTTGGGAAGGGGAGGGGGGCCGGGGCTATGGCCCGGCCAGGGGATGGGGAGGCTAGCATGTCTGTCCTGGAGCGGCTACTGGCCAACGCTGCGCTGCGGGACGAAGCTGGCAGGCTCCGAAGCCCTGCGTCCCAGGCCCGCCAGCCCTCGGGGGTGAGTCAGGGAGGGTGTGGGGTGTGGGTAACAGGGAGCCCCGTGCTAGAGGCGGCCCCTCCTGGCTACCCCTGGGCTGGCCGAGGCCAGGGCGCCAGGGCGGGGAGGTCTTCCCCAGGAACAGGAGGCTGTGTGGTTTCCTTGGGGAGGAAGAGCCCTGGTGCTCGTGCCCACTCCAACTTTGCCAGCGAAGTTGTGGGGGGGACCCAACGAGTGCACCCCTCCCTTCCCCCATCTCAAATACAGACTGCTCCTTCCGGCAGGATTTCTATTTCTATTGGCACCTAGCCGGCTGTTGCCCAAGGGCTGTAAACATGACCATAGGACCACAGATCGAGTGCCCATTGTGTGCCAGGCTATGCTGAATCGGGTTTCTTGTTTTTTTTTGTTTTTTTAAGTGATCTTAGTTCTCTCACATTAGCCCCTTACAGTAGGAGGAGTTATCTCTGTTGAAGGATGAGGCCCAGAGTGGTTACGTGATTTTGCTGAAGGTTACACAGCAAACCCAAGGCTCTGTGTTGCCAGAGTAGAACTTTCAGGCACCGGGCAGTGCTGACTCTTGTTCCGGATTGATTCCCACTCTAATGGACACTAAATATTCTTTCTTCTTCTTTTTCTTTTTGCCTGTGTTTTTGTTTTTCTCCTGAATCCCAGGGACTCCTTGGCTGGGCCCAGAAAGATCTGCAGAGCGAATTTGGGATTGCAGCAGACCCCCACCCCAGCAGCTGCACCTCTTCTGGCTGGTCTCAAGATGCTCCTCAGGACTATGGCCTTGGGGGCACGAGGCCTCTAGGAGACCCAGGCCTGGGGGAGAGTGATTGGGCCAGCAAGTACCAGTCAGGAGCGGGCGAAGGGAGCGGTCGGGAGTGGGCCAGCAGGTGTGGCCTTGGCCAGGAGGGGATAGATGTCCGAAGCAGCCCAGACCCCAGTGACATGCCTGCCCTCGGGGGGCTCTCGGCCTATGAGAGGGTGGTTGGAAAGCCAGCCCTGCCGGGCACTCAGAGCCAGGAGGCCAGCATACAGGAATGGGAGCGTGGAAAGAGGGATTCCCAGGGCACTTACTCCAACCAGGATGCTGAGCTCCAAGACCAGGAATTCGAGAAGAGAGATTCACTGGGTGCCTTCAGTGGTGGAGACACAAGCCTCCAGGACTGGGAATTTGGGAAGAGAGATTCACTGGGCTCCTACATCAAGCAGGATGCCCAGGAGGAGCAGGCCCAGGAATTGGGGGCGAAAGACCATCATGGTGGCTACAGTAGCCAGGACGCTGAGAAGCAGGACCGGGAGTTTGAGAAGAGAGACTCTTCACTTGGCACCTATGGCAGCCTGGCTGCAGCCCAGCAGGACCGGGAGTTTGGGAAGAGCGCATGGATGAGGGACTACAGCAGCCACGCTGGCGCCATGGCCTTCAGCGCACAGGACAGAGGCTTTGGATCTAGAGGCCTGAGCTCTGGGTTCAGCCCCGAGGAAGCCCAGCAGCAGGATGAGGAGTTTGAGAAGAAGATGCAGAATGGGGAAGACAGTCCGGGTGATGCCAGCGGGGAGATGGGGCCAGAAGAGGCAGAATCGGGGGGCCTGTTCAGCCCCAACGCCTCCCAAGTGCAAGATGGCGCCCTTGGACAGAGAAACCAGGGCAGCTGGCAGGACAGTGACTCGAGCCAGCATGTCGGAGGGCTGCCAGAGAGACTGCACGCAGGCACTCAAAGCCCCGGTGATGCTGGGCTGGAAGAAGGGTCCGTAGGGAAGCGAGGCTGGGACAGGGAGGTCAGCCTTGGCATTGCCCCACAGCCCGAGGCAGCGTTTAGCCCCAGTCGGCAAGACTGGAGTGGGGACCTGTGCCTTGAGGCCACTGAGAAGAGCTATCAGTTTGGCATCATTGGCACCGACAGAATGAGTGGTGCCGGCCTGAGTCCATCCAGTAAGATGGGAGGTGGTCACTTTGTGTCTCCCGAGGAGCCCATGTCCAGGGCTGTGGACTGGACCGACCAGCTGGGTCTCAGGAACTTGGAAGTGTCCAGCTGCGTGGAGACCAGGGGTTCGAGTGAGGCCCGAGAGAATGCCGTGGGCCAGATGGGCTGGTCAGACAGCCTGAGCTTGAGAGACGGAGACGTGGCCGGCCGTTTGGAGACTGGAGGGTCTGAAGAGCCCAGGGGGGTGGGAGTTGGGGAGAAAGACTGGACTTCGGATGTTGGGATGAGGAGCAGGGATTTGGCAGGAGCAGGGGAGGTGGGGGACCGTAGCCAGGCCAGGGAGAGTGGCGTGGGACAGCCTGACTGGTCAGGTGTGGAGGCTGGCGAATTCCTTAAGTCAAGGGAGCGTGGGGTGGGGCAGGCAGACTGGACACCTGATCTTGGGTTGAGAAACATGGCTCCAGGAGGCAGCTGCAGCCCCGGTGAGCCCAGGGAGCTTGGGGTGGGTCAGGTGGACTGGGGTGACGATCTGGGTCTGAGGAATTTGGAGGTGCCCTGTGACCTCGAGTCTGGAGGTCCTCGGGGCTGTGGGGTGGGGCAGATGGACTGGGCCCGGGATTTGAGGCTCCAAACCACGGAGCTCTCTGGGGTCCCGAGTGAAGCTAGGGAACATGGAGTGGGGGAGGTGGACCCCGGTGGCTTCAGGAACAGCGGCAGCTTGGCGTCTCACCTGGAGGCTAGAGATCCTTTGGAGGCCAGGGAGCTAGGGGTGGGCGAGACCAGCGGACCAGAGAGCCCCGGTGAAGACAGCTCCTCACCTTCCTCGGAGACCCGCCCTGAAGACCCCGGAATGCAGAAGGGGGAAACACCGGGCTTCGGAGCAAGGTAAGGGAGCCCGTCTGGGGGTGGGAGGGTAGACGCACTGCTTCCCCGGTAATAATAATAATAATAAAAGTGGAGTCTTAGCCAGGTGGTCCGTACCCGTTAACCCCTAGCTACTGTGAGGCTGAGATGGAGTCGCCGTTCCAGGACAGCCTGGGCAAAGACTTTATGAGACCCTCGCCTCACCCAACAAAAGCTGGGCTTGGTAGCAGGTGCCGGACATCCCGGCTATCCAAACCACATACCGGAACATGGTCTTAAGTCAGCCCAGGCAACAAAACAAGACCCTCGTCAGAAAATACCTAGAGCGAAAGGGCAGAGGACATGACTCAAGTGGTAGAGCACCTGTCTAGCCAAGTGCCAGGCCTTGGGTCCAAACCCCAGTACTGCCTCGAAGCGAGGGGAATTTCCTCTCGGGAGGAAAGAACCAGTTTTTCCCATGGACCTGGAGTGTTTGGAAAATGGAGACTACGAGGGCTGTATAAACAACAGACTTGGAATATGCAACTGATAGAGGCGAGTTGAGTGCCTCTTTGGAAGGATGGATGTAAAGTTATTGGAGGGGTTTACTCTTGGCCAACGCCTGTGTTAGGCTTTCTTGGTGCTACTTGAGCTGTGGCCAGGTGGGGGAAGTGGAGTCGGCCACCTTTCAGATGGTTTTCTAGAACCATCTGAACTTGGCAACACAGCAGCGATGGTTTTGTTCCCTCAGGCCTCCCACCCAGCCTTGGATTCGCAGGTGCTCCTGGCGCCAGAGAATGCAGATGCTTTGCAGTAGCAGAAGGACCACCCTGTGCTGGCTTCTCGGCCTGAGCCGCCACAGCCAGGAGTAGAATGGTGCTCATAGGCTGTTAGGATAGAGCTAAGATGGGGGGCAATTAGGGAAATTGAAGCTGTTAGGACCTGGCTCCTGGCCCCAGGAACCCCTCCCCCACCAAGTGTCTGAAATGACTGCTCAAAGGAACAGCCTGTGTCATGGCTGAGTGTTCCAAAACCCACAGAGGCGATTTCACCCCTTTTGGAAAAGGTGTGACAAAGTCATGGGATGAATCTGTGTCAATAACAGTTCTATCCACTGGTCGTTGCTTTTATTCTCTCTAGTGAGTAGAAATAATTTTGTGGCATCAAAGTGGGAGCTTCCCACTGGTGGTCCAGGAAGGAGAGGGAAAGCAAAGGAGGTGTTGGGTGGGGGGCAGGGGCTGTTGTAAGTGGAAGGGGCCGAGGGTAGTAGGAGGAGAGCAGGAGGGGCCAGAGAAGCCCTGGGTGGGTGGGGGGTGGCATTGGAGATGGAGGTGGAGGAGGGAGAGCGAGTGGGGCCAGTTTTCTGGGGATCCAGGTGGTTGAGAGGATTGTGGGTGGGACCCAGGGAATGATGGAGGACTACATACAGGTGAGAGACAGATACACAGCAACTCAGGAGACTCCTGTAGGCCTGGACCACTTACTGCACTCAGCCCGAGTTTTTAACAGTTAGACTTGGGAAGCCCAGGGTTCCAGCTGTAAGATGGCTGGTGTGGAAGGGAGGGAGCAGCATGGTGTCTCTGGAGTTCTCTTCCTAGGACTCAAAGGTCCATGTGCCCCAGGGCACAGGGCTCAGCCACACACCTGACTCGCTGATCTTCTAAGCTGCCCTGTGAATCAGAGCAGAGGATTTTGATCCTCTCCTGTGGGCAGGTCTGAGACAGAGTGACTCTCTCCCTCAGCGACACATCATTCTGACTTGTTTCTGTCAGCGGCTCTTAGGTGTGGCCACTGTATTTTACTTAAGACTGTCAAGGAGTGGGGCCGGAATCCTTCACCTTCTCCTAGGGATTAGGACAGGTGGGTGGCCCATGAGAAGGCCGAGCAGCCAGTCCTTCCCTTGGTTCAGGATGGAGGGAGGAGGCTGCTGCAGGCTGGCAGGGTGGGGACAGCTGTGATGGTTGGGGTTTCCTGAACTCAGAGATTAGTGCTAATGCCCTGCAGGTGAGCCTCCTTGTATGCGGTAGAAAAACACTGCCACCTCCTCCTCCGCAGCTGAGAGGAAACAGTTACCTCAGAGGGGGGTCTGTGGGGATCTTATGTATTCCAGCAAAAACCTGGTCGTGCTTAGAGCTGGAAAATGCTGCGTGCTCTGTGACCGGATGGCACTTCTGGTGTCTGCTAGCTTACCATAAGACCTGGAAGTTGGACTCCACTTCAGGGTTTCTCAAACCGAATCTGACCCATGTTCCCAGAGCTGGTGTTCTGAGCATTGGACAGAGGGAAAGTTCTCTTCCAAGGAGAATTGGAAGGTTTTCTTTGTATCCAGGAGTCCTTGAGTAACTAGTGAGAGTATCTGGCTTTGGATCCTGAGTCTCTCTCATTACCTCTGTGACTTCAGACAAGTGCTTTTACCTTTCAGCCCCCCCTCCCGCCACACACACACACAATTACCCATCTGGAAATTGGGAGTAGCGTACCTGCTCTTTCCCACGGAGCTTTTATGAGGACAGAGGTTAGAACACACAAAAGCAATGGACAGAAACCTGTCCGCTGAGTGCTAGACCCTGGGAGCAGTATTCTGTCCCCTGTATTTGTATCTGCTTTGCAAATTCGGATGCCCTTGGGGCCATTTTTGTCATTATCCTCATGTGATAATGATTGGCTGGACTAGCGTGGGCCCCTCCCGTGGGTCTCTTCTGTCCTGGTCTTGGTGGGAGCATCACAGCAAGTCCTCTCCTCGCTCCGGCCTTCTGTTCATCCTTAGACTTAGCGATGCAGAAGTCACCAAGCTCCTTTAGAGTCCTCCTGGGGTCCAAGGAGCCCCTCATCTCACTGACAGGAAAACAGCAGAGCAGAGTAGACCGAGGCTGACAGTGTGTGATTGTGGGTTTCTGTCCCTTCCTGCAGACCTCCTTCAGCCCTCCCTGGCTCAAGGCCAGTGGCTGTCCCTTTAGACACACGGTTCCAGCTCCAGCCTTTCCCTCTTCTCATGCCACATCTCCAGGAAGCTATGAAGGGTTATTATCAAGGCTGGGTGATGGATGGGTAAAGATGGTAGAAGATGCTGAGGATGATGAGAATTATCCTAGTAATTTGTATCCTTAATCAAGTGCTTAACTATATGCTAGGCACAAATTTCTGCTACTAAGCCTAGCAAAGTTTCCATACTTTCATTGACCCCCAATTTACGGAGGAGGAGGTCAAGCAGACATGTAACTTGTGGCCCAAGTCATTGGTGCAGAAGAGAATAGAGCCTGGGTCTGGGCGGGGGGTGGCAGGGTTTTGCACCCAAGTTCCTAATTTCTCTGTGTTCCCTTCCGGGAAGGTCTCAGGTTACTGGTGTTCTGGGCTCTCTCCAGGGTAGGGAAGCAGTTCCTGGTGTGTGTGTGTGTGTGTGTGTAAGGGGAAGGATGGTGGGCTCTTTTGGGCTCTCCTCCTCCCATGGCTACCCCTGGAATCCACCCAGCTCCCTCCACTGACCACTCCTTTGTAGCGCCTCGTTCAGAGTCATCTTTCCGTTCAGCGCATGCTGGTTGTGCATCATCTAACAGCCAAGCTGTAGGGCCTGCCCTCGCTCTCTGTCCCACCTGCTGACAGGATAGGCCCAGCTCTCCACCTCTTTCTTGACATCCTCCCTGACTCTAAGCTGGCTTCAGGGTGCACTTGCTCTGGCCACAGTCCAGGGCTGCTCCCAGTTCTGCTGCCTCTGTGCTGAAGCCACTGCCTCTCCCTTCTCCCCACCTCTCCACACTGCTTTCATTTCCACCTGTCAGCAGCTTGGAGAAGGACAGACTGACGCACATTCTCCCCCTTCCCTGCCCTTTCTTCTGGCTCAGTATTGACTCACCTGTCTCATCTTCTCCCCCTCTAATACCACGGGGAGTTCCGTAGCCTGACTTGCAGGCACTGCCCTGCCTGCCTTTCCTGGCCCTCTGTGATGGATGGTACAAGTGGGGTGTGTGCTCAATGTGTGTCAGGGTGTGGCTTGTGCTGTGTGTAGGTGTGGTGGGCACCACCAGCACACACCTGCCCTGCCCAAGGTGTGTGTGTGTGTGTGTGTGTGTGTGTGTGTGTGTGTTTCAGGGTGTGGCAGCTGGATATCGTATGAGAGAGCATGCGTACTGCTGCCTGCCCTGGTGTGTTTGTGCTGGGCTATGAGGAGCCCCAGGCAGAAGATGGGGAAGCCATGTTGAGATCCAAGGTGACCCTGGTTCTCATTGACTTAGCACACATTTGCTTCATCTGGCCCCTAGGCCAGATGCTGGGGGCAAAGACATAAAGGGCCTGACTTTATCCCAGAGCGGGTGGAGACAGAGAATCACAGGACTGAAGGGAATCCAGGATGGAGGGAGCCCCAGCATGAGCTGGGAGGTAGAGCTGGGGGGCCATGCTGGCTGGGGGTGTGGGGGAGCTTCCCAGATGAGGGAACAGTTGGAGGCTGGGAGTGTTCTCCGGGGAATGCAGAGATGAGATGCTCAGCGGGGCTGCACATGATAGGTTGGACAGGCAGATAGATGGGCCGTACCCGGCGCATCCCAAGCAGGGTGAGGGTTCTGGCAGCAGGGGCAGTGGTCGGCACAGCTGAGATTTATGGGAACTGGCAGGGACCTTGCTAAGTGCTGTAAATTGCCCTTCCTTTACCCCCCCCCCCCAGCACCATGCTGGGGGAATGTACAAAGGAGCTCATCCAAGGCCTCATGTACAGGCTGTGCATCTTTTTTTTTTTTTTAAAGCATAGATTCATCATAAGTGGAAAATCCCCACCTGGCCTTCTGTGACAGGTCACAGTGGTTTGAATGCAGGAACACTGAAAAATACCATAAAAAGTTATTTGCAGGGGCTGGGATTGTGGCTCAGTGGTAGATTGCTTGCCTAGCATGCAAGAAGCCATGGGTTCAGTTCCTTATACTTAGCATGCAAGAAGCCATGGGTTCAGTTCCTTAATGCCACATAAACAGAAAAAGCTGGAAGTGGCACTGTGGCTCAAGTGGTAGAGTGCTAGCCTTGAGCAAAAGAAGCTCAGGGATGGTACCAGACCCTGAGTTCAAGCCCCAGGACTAGCACAAAAACAAACAAAAAGTTTCTTGTAGGCTACCTGTATAAGGTGTAAATGAGACATACCTGCGTTTCAGTTTTACACATAGTTCTATCCCATCAGCCAGGTGGTTAGTTGTAGTGGCAGAATACCTGCACATCTATATCTATATTCTATGTATCTAACATACATATAGCATGTATAATATACAACATGTTATTATATGTTATATAATATGTATGCATTTATTCCCAAATTTTGAAAAAAAAAAACCCTCTGGTTCTGAGCATTTCAGATAAAAGATACTCAAGCTATAGTAAGTGTTGAGTTGGGGATTCGAACCCACCACGTGGTTCTGTCCTCACCCTGCCCCTGTGTGCTGTGTGCTTCAGCCACTGAGCCCAGGGTCTCACCAGACCAGTGACCTTGTTTTCCTGTCTGTCCCCTTTACAGCCCCAGGTATCTGGCCCGCTCCCCGCCCTCTGGCTCCCAGGGCCTGTTGGAGGAGATGCTGGCCACCAGCAGCTCTAAGGCTGCTACCTGGAGGGAGTCAGCAGCCTCAGGCCTCAGGGTCCCCTTAGAGGAGGAAGGACCCTTAGCAGGTGCTGACCAAGGGGCGTCCCCGGAGCCTCTGCCCGCCAGGGACCCACTGCCTTCCTGGAGGCCCCAGCCTGATGGTGAAGCCAGCCGGACAGAAGAGGTGGACGGCACCTGGGGCTCCGCCAGAGCCAGGCAGGAAGAACAGGGGCCGGCTCCAATGCCGACCCCTCGCCAGCCCCCCCAAGGCCCTCCACCCAGCTGCCCCAGCCAGGACTTCTCCTTCATCGAGGTGAGTGGGGGTGAGCCCGGGGCAGCGGGAGGGGCGCTGCTGTCCAGGTGTCTGAAGCCAGAGCTGCATTCTGGGAGCTTTGAGCACAGGCTGTGGGTACTGTGGGAACAGGCAGCTCTGTTGAGGACCCCCCCCCCCCCCGTGGGGTGGACAGGACCCTGGAGCAGTCATGGCAGTGATGTTGCCTGTGTTTCACGCAGGACACCGAAGTCCTCGACAGTGCCATGTATCGGAGCCGTGCCAACCTGGGGCGCAAGCGTGGGCATCGTGCCCCGGCCATCCGGCCAGGGGGGACCCTGGGCCTGTCAGAGGCAGCAGACTCGGACGCACGCCTCTTCCAGGATTCTACAGGTAGGCTGTGTGGATTATTTGGTGGTGTGAACGTGCTGCTGTCTGGAGGCATGTGATCTGGCTTGTGGGTGAGGATGATGTCTGGGGTGTCACCTGTGCCTCCTTCCTGGCCTTTGCAGAGCCACGGACTTCCCGGGTGCCATCTTCAGATGAGGAGGTAGTGGAGGAGCCTCAGAGCCGCCGGACACGGATGTCCCTGGGCCTGAAAGTCAACCTGTTTCCTGGCCTCAGCCCATCTGCCCTGAAGGTACCATCTAATCCGTCATCTGGCCTCTTTGATCCATCCTTCCTTCCTTCCACCCATCCATCCTTCCTTCCACCCCTCTTTCCTTCCTTCCACCCATCCATCCTTCCGTCCATGCATGCATGTATGCATCCATCTATCCACCCATTCCCCTAGTCCTCTTGCCTATCCCTCCTTTCTTTCTGCTCTCCAAGGAGGGCCCTGGAAGGCCCCGTTAGCCTCCTGGACCCTGAGTGGTGGAAACAACAAGGTTGTTCTTGTCCCAGATTCTCAGGGGAGACTGGGGGACGGGAGCCATGCCTATAGTTTGCTCCAGCGAAGGGAGAAGCGAAGGTGTCACTCGGGAGGCAGACAGGGGCCAGGCGAGGCAGAGGGAGGAGTCACTTCCTGACAGCAGGGTACTGTGGGTAGAGGGTGGACTGGCCAGGACCTCTTACAAGCATTTGCTCTGAGCCTTGGGGTAGCCATGAGAGTTGGCTGTGAGGTTCGGGTTGGGGAGGGGACATTGCAGGCAGAGGGAACAGATGGGCAAAAAGCATATGTGTGGGAAGTCACCCTTGGCCCTTTCCAGCCCAGTTTACCGAGTTTAATTCAGCAGTATCTTTTTGAGGACCTACTGTGTGCAGGATGAGACTCGGCTCTAAGTCTTGAGGAGAGGACCTCAGAGGGGTCTAGGTCTGGTTTGGGTGATGGCGTCCTCTTGAGAGAAGGCCTCTCTGAATCCTGCTGCTTGTCTTTCTTACCTCCGTATCAGGCCAAACTGCGCTCCAGGAACCGCTCGGCTGAGGAGGGGGAGCCAGCGGAGAATAAGTCAAGCCAGAAAGAGTCCTCGGTCCAGCGTTCCAAGTCCTGCAAGGTTCCAGGGCTGGGCAAGCCCCTCACATTACCTCCCAAGCCAGAGAAAACCTCAGGGTAAGTAACTAAGCTCTGGGCATCCCTGACCTCGGGGTATGAGGTGAAGTGAAGCAGGGAAGCCTTGGGCCTTTACAGGAGAAATGTGAGGCTCAGTGTGGAGATTAAGTGTGTCACATTGAAGTAATGTCAGTTGTCTGTATGTGGTGTCAGGATTCCAGTCCTACACAGATGGGCCCCATGGTGGTTGTGGTTGGAGGGTAGATTTCTGGCTCTATCTTGTTTTCTCAGTTTGTTCACTTTCCTTAAAGTTTGCCTTTGTGGACCTTTGCACTCTGCCTTCTAGGTCAGAAGGTTCATCACCCAACTGGCTGCAAGCCCTGAAGCTGAAGAAGAAGAAAGTCTGAGAAGTCATTGAGGTGAGGGGCGTGGCCTGGGCTTGGCTCTAGCTGGGGGGGGGGGGGGGAGCGGGGGGAGGGCAGGGATGAGTAGAGAACTTCAGAGGCCCTCGGCCCACTTCAGGACCTCAGCCCCACATTGTGCTTTCTGTGCAAGGCTGGAAAGAGGTGGGTGAAGCCAAGTCTAGAGACTTGATAGGCCCCTTGGCACCTCCAAGTCTTTGCACAGGGCTGGGATGGGAATGGGGGTGGCTTCCTCCTCAGCTGGCTCCCTGGGACCCAGGTCATTCCCCACCACGGGGCTCAGCTGTCGGAGCTGGGATGGACAGGGCCAGGATGGGCGGAGGAAGCCGAAGTCTGGTGCCCTCCCTCTGACCTCTCGTCCTCTCCCTGTCGCAGGTCCTTTCCACCTGGCAGTCTCAGGCAGTGCCTGTTCCTGTGGGGTCCCAAGCCGGGAGACAGCAGGAGCCCCGCCAAGGCCCCCGCTGCGGCCTCGTTCAGCCCCACCTCCGAGGAGCTTCTGGGAGGCACATTTATGCACTTTGTATCACCTCCCCCCACCCCCATCTGCCCTCCCAGCCTGGATTCCATCACTCGTGGTTGAAGGTTTTGGTCCTTCCTTTGCTGTTTTCACCTTCTCTGTTTCCTCCTCCAGCCTCCTTTGGGTTTTCTTTTGATACCAATTTATAGCATTTTTTATAAAAGCCTTTGATTTTTGTAATGGGCAGAGCCCT